GGGGGGGGGAGGAGGTGTAATTGGAGGGCTAAGGGGTGTTAGAGATGCACTTATAATTAATATTTGTTAAGGTTTGCACATTGCGTTCCAGGGGGAAAAATATGGGTAGACAAGGTCATAATCTCACAGCCCCCTTCTCTTTACTTCTAGAACAGCCCCTGAACGACAAGGTGTAAATATTACACTAAACATTTTCTTGAATTCATATACACTAAGATCCTGATATGCATTTGTTAATCATTTAACCAGAATGTTTACACCATTTTAACTTACAATAATCACTACATCTGGATGAACATTTGGAATTTCTGCTGCCATTAAATGTCTGTCTTCTTGTCGGGAAAAGTCTCCAGTATACAATATCTGAAATACCATCGTAAAAACATGCATTATTTTTCACTTATTTTTCACTTATACTTCTTTATCAGCAACATATGCACTACATTCGTATGCTAAATTAAGTTCTGGGAGTACACATTAAAATAAAATATGTGGAATGTAATAGATTTAAAAAGAATATATAATGAAACTGATGCTTAGTATTGCTTAGTCATAACTTCTCCAATGTTGATTAAAATACAATGTTAGCATATTATGTTTATTTAATATGGTGCGCTAACTATATGTCACTTAAGTGCAAGGAAAAGGGGAGACAAGTTGCTTTGCATAGGTAAATATTGATCTGCCAAGTTACTACTTCTATAACTACACTGATATAAAAATACAAAATCATACCACTTTTTTGACATCTACAAGTGTATATTTGTCAGTTTTCCCAAGGTATACTAACCTTTACACCTGCAATCTCTATCATAAACATAGCTGCCCCTAACACATGACCTGCAGTGTAGCACCAAAATTTTATTCCGTTAATTTCCACTTCCTGGAAACAAAAAAATAAACATGTTTTGGTGATAAAACCATTGATAACAGATAACAGCTGTATTGGATTTCAACAATAAACAACAGAATTTACCTCAGTATTATTACTTATTTTTCCATTGAAGTATTAATTACCAAGTAAAACTGGTTTAACTCTTAATCATAACAATGATGTAATGAAACCTTTCTTTGTTACTTGTGATCTTTCATAGTTATGTTTTATTTTTCTTCCAACAAAGGATAAATTATCACGTACAGCTGCTCAACAGTATAATAAAATCTCTTGATTACTTAAAGATGCACCTATGGATGTACCTAAATGAATATATATCTGTGAAATTGCTAGTAAAAATGTACTTTATTTTTATTTTACCAATATCACCTGCATGTATCTTATAAATTGCACCATTATCAAAAAACCAATCTTATACCAAATTATCCAATAATAGTGTGATCTTAATAAAAGCGAAGAATAATTATTATCTGAATGGGGAAAAGAATTCCCTTGAATTCTAATGGCCGACCCTGGAACAGGGAACACAGTACTATATAATGCTAAACAACCTGGAACAGGTTATGTATAAAAAGACCCTGGAACAGGGTATAC